TCATGGCCCACTTCAAGCTACCAGTGTGACATCAATTGGCAGGAAAATTTTTTGAAAATTAAATGGCTCTCATAAGCCTATAAGCTGGCTCCAATTTACACAATTCAGTATTGGAAACTTTGAATCATTTACAGCCCACAAAACAAGGAATTCAGATTTCCAAGTTTAATAGTCTATTTATTTAGTATCAACCATTTAAAAATATTATATGCTTTTAAAATATCAGCCTTCTACAAAAGCAAATACCACCACAACTTAATTATTGAAATTACATAGTTGATTAAATAAATCTATAAAGCAAATATAAGTACTTTATGTTGTTAGTCTGCTATTCTCTAAGAAATAGAAAAACATTTTTTTCCTAGACACCAATTTATTTTTTAAAACTGAAAACATCTTTATTTTTCTTATTAAAAATAATACATGATTTTTGTTTTAAAAAATCAGCTAACATAAAAAGTTAAAAGAAAAAAGTGAAAAACACTATAATTTTATTACCTAGGAATAGGATTAATAGTTTGATGTATACCCAAATATACATTTTCATATTACATATGTTGCTTTCAATTTTTCACATAAGAGCATTATCATGGTAATCACCCTATGTCAATAATATAAATTTCCATTATCATTATAAATGGCTGTATATATATTTCATTGTATGACCCATATTTAAAAATGAACTGAAAGACTCCTGTTTTAGGAAGACAGTAAGCTGTATAATTGTTTCCCTTTCGAAGGAAGATTTTTTTTTTAAGTCTTTGTAATTAGGCAGAAATCTCACAGATTTCACTGAAAAATTATGCTTTATAAAGGCTTTCAGCTAAACTGATGGAGGCAGTATTTTTTCTAAGTATTAAAAGAATCATATTAAAACAAAATGTGGAAGTAAGTGAAGATTTGCTGAGGGGGACGGCATCTTATTGGTCATTCTGTATCCTTGGTCCTTCCCAATCTGTACACCTAAATCACACAGCACTTGCTCCTTGCTCTTCGTGAGCATATCGTAGGCCCTTGGCATTCACAGCCTTTCCCAAACTCCAAATCAACAAATATTCTGTATTTCCTCCTTTACATATCATGTAGAAGAACTAAAATATAATAAAGCATTCTTTACATGGTCTTTCAAGTACTTGCATTTATAGAATTAAATCTAAAACAAGCATTTAATATTTTTGACACTGGAATAAACTTGAGGCTCTATTAATAAACTATATTATATCATTTGTACATTGTTTTTTTATTGTACAAATAAATGACCATGGAATCAAAAGATTCATAGTTTTGCCCCTGAACAGCCTATATGCAATAAACAATAGAGCAAATCTGACTTACTCATAAATTCTGCTATATTGCCCCAGGCGGGAGAGCTGGTCTGTTCTTGGCCACTCTGAGACTAAACACCTTATCTTTCTCCTTGGATATGGTTATTTGCAAAACAGGTTCCTTCCAGTGAAGACATATTTTATCTATATTGAACACTTCCTTTTTTGATGGGGGGTTGTTATAACCCTTGTCTTCTGTAAGCTTTGGTATAAGTGTGGTCTGCTTCTGCTGATGATTTTCCTGTTAACAATAACAAAAAATAACCTTAGAACATTCTTTACCCAGAGTAACGGTTTGTTTCATAGCTGTTCTCTCTGCCTGTTGCTTTCCTGAAATGTTTGCAATCTCCTGGCTTGGGCTTGAACCACATTGTAACAAAAAGACGTGTTTCTTGAGTATATCTGCAGACCACAAGTTAACCACATTTTCAACTTTTACTAATTTTTTTTGCTCATTTGAAAACCCATTTTTGCCTTGGTTGGAGGATTCTCAGAAATAGTTTAAGGAACCATGTTTTGTAGTTTCTATATCAAGCATCAGGTAGACTCCACGTCATGTACCTAAATCTACATCATATATCTAAATCACCTTGGAATTCAGCATTTCATTCTCTCTCTCTCCTAGACTTATATTTTAGGTCTTTTCACTTTTTCCTCTATTTCCATTACCACAACTAGTAGCTGGTTTTCCTTTAATTCTTCATGCCACTAAAAATGGATTTTATCATCTTGTGAGTGTTACTGCATACACAGGAAAGCTGTGTTGAGCTACAGAAGCTAGGCCCAACCCACTGGCTAAGTGACTTACTCCTTCCTCAGAGTGAAGAAACTCAAAATTAGCAAAAAAAAAAGCTCACTGCCCCTTTGGGCCGATCATGGTGATCACATCATAAGTTAATCAATGTCAAATCACTATGTCGTACACCTGAAACTAATACAGTATTGTATGTCAACTATACTTTAATAAAAAAAATATAAAAGCTGCAAATGTAAACATTTGAGAATGCAAATTATCATCAACGGTACTAAAAAAAATGTATACACATTTTAATTTAAGAGATGTTGTCTTAAAATATATATACATTTTTAGGTACCCTCTGTATATTATATAGGGGTATAAATCCATACTCTACCATTTTTTGCTTGTTTGTTTCTTCCCAAGAAAGGTAGGATAGACATAGGTTAAGTGAATCCTTTTGAAAAGCATTAAAAATACTTGCTTTTGTAAAACAAGTATTCTCTAAAACTGGAAAGAAAGAGAGAGATTATTTTACAGTAAAGAAAGTTTCTGTTCAGATACAACTGTGGGCTTTTCTACATGTTTCTGTAGACAGTTCAAGCTTCTTTTGACATCATTTTTAATAAACAGCAATACAATCCCAGATCACTTGAGTAAATGAATGCATTTGCAACATTCATTTGGCACCATATTCTCTTGATGATTATGGCATTTGATATGTTCTTTTTTGCCCTCTTTGTCAGCCTGGTTCTTCATGTCAATCTATAGTCTTTTATGTGGTTAACTTGACAGATGCAGGAAATTGCTGCCAAGCTTTGAAATGAATTTTTTCAGCAGTGGCATCTGGGTATCAGATGGTCCTCTTGGCTGGCCTCTTGTCTTGCTGCATGTTGGTTTTAGTGGGGTCTGGTGTAGCATCACCTGTTGCTATGCTCCCTTTTCCTCCCATATGTCCATTTCCCGTGATTCATGGATGAATGTGAGAATAAAAGCTCTGGTTCTGTCTTTATTTCAGACAAAATTCTACAGAAATATGTTAGAAGGTTCAGAGTTCTCTGTCTGACAAAGGGATACTTCCCTTTGGCTGGCATGCCTATCAGCTAATAAATTGGTTACAAAGACCGAGTTTTTAAAGGCATTTAAAATGAAAGGCAAGGAGAAGGATGATGATTAATTAGTGGAAGTGCCAGAACTGCTTTATTTCTTTGATTCACATTACATTAAGATGCTTCCATTGTTGTGCAACATGATCAGAAAGAAATTGTATATTTGTTTTATTATGTACTTGTACTTTGCAACGCTAGCTTTCTAAATTTAAAAAAGGAAATTATTTCCTCTGAAAGCATTGTTTTGTCTGCTTCCTGCAATCTCATTGTTTACATTTGTACCATATTTTTAAAACACTAAATAAGAGTTATAGGAAATTGCTATCGTGAAGAACTTCCTCATATTATTAAGCGCTAGTGAACGTGGGCCCAGGGGAAAATCCAGGGTATGCTGAAAGCACCAGGCCGACTCTCTAGGTCCCCTCGAACTCCGCCCTCCTCTGATGTTTATCTCTGGGCTGCTAGCACCTCTCCTTTCTCTCTCAGCAGACTACAGCTTTGCAAAACTCCAGGGGGAACCATTCACCCTGTACTCCCTCATAGGCAGGGGCTTGAGAAGTTAGGTCTTTCACTGTTCTCTATCCTCTCACTCCAGAGCCCCTAAGTCAAAACAGTCCTTTAACTGCTTAAGATGTTGTCCTTTAAAGGGACCCAAATTTGAGTTCTAGTCTATGCAACTACATCTTCCAAAAATGTTCTGCAAAAGGCCCAGGGGAACATAGCATGGCCCTGGTGAAGCTTTTTCTTTCTGTGCCTCTTTGGTTGTATGGACACTGGGGTGTTTCTCTTCCCACTCTCTAGCTCAGTAATGAAAACCTTTGCTGCGTTACTTGCAAAGAAAAGTTTCTAACGTAGTCGCATTCATGAGGGAAACTGCGATTAGGTGTGTTGGTGAACTGGGGCATTGCTCCAGCTAAGCTGCTCCGAGGGAAGGTACCACTGAATTGGTTACCATGCATGAGGAAAAGGTCATTATGTGGCACCTCCCATTTTCTCCTCACTGTGCGTCGTCTCCTGCATTTTTATAATTTGGCAAGGATAAGCAGAAAGGCAAGGAAGTACAATTGACTTTAAGGGTGTTTTTCTTAATAAAACAAAATAGCAGAAAGAAAACACTACCATGACAAATATGCAACAAATACTCACTATGTTTCACTCCAGGCTCTGTGAGCTTTCATAATAACTACAAACTGCTTACACTTTGGTAAAACTGCCTATAAAAAAAGCCAAAATTATTCGTCTGGAAATTGGTAATTTCTGTTCATGATCATAACAAATTTAACAGCTATATTTATTTTAAAATTAATACTTATTAAATTTGATTCCAAACGATGTTTTAGTGGTGCATATTTCCTTTTAAAAAAGTTAGTCTGTAGCTTATTGATTGCTTGTCATGTACCAATGATTGTGCTAAAAACATGGGAAAGACTGAGAAATTATATGTTACCTGCCCTTAAGAAACATACTTTATTGAGGAGCCTTGAAACAGATGAGGACCAAAGAGAAATGTATTGTTTAACTGTTAGAATATAGTAGCCACTACCATTTATTGGGTGTGCACTGTACACCGATTATTGTTTGAAATGATTTGCAAAATTCAATAATTTATTTCTCACAACTACCCAGTGTGGTGGCTCCTGTTACCATTGTTACCATTTTTCAGACAGGAAAACGGAGGTACAAGAGGTTAAATGATTCATCCAAGGTCATTGGTTGGGCTAGAATTTGATCCCAGGCCACTTGTCTCCAGAATCTAAACCCTTAACCACTTTATTATACTACCTCTAATGAAGGCTACATTGGGAGTTGGAAAGTAAACTAGGCTGAGCCCTTTGCTATTTCTGATGCTTTGCCCTGTCAGATCCTAAGGGAGACGAGGGGGAGGGTAGTGCTGCTCTTCCCCATTTTCCGTCTCTGTCTTTGGAGAGACCTGACCTAACCACCCGCTCCCAGAGAGCATTCTCCAGTTCCCAACATCTCCACATGCCCTTTGCACCCATTTTTCCTCTTTTATATTTCCTGTCTGGCCCCCCCAAAAACACTTAAGTTTGTAACACCTGGAGGTCAGGGATGGAGGTATATATGTATTTTTTTCTTTTTGTAAAGAAAGATTAGGTTCCATGATATTATTTTTCCCCATAAACGTCACCCATTGAGAGAAAAAAAAAAGGAAATTGGAAACTGAGTGTTTAAGAAGAATTTATCGTTAGGAGAGCTGATATGAAGGGCTTCGTGGGTGTTGCCCGGAAGTGGTTTCTAGTCACAATCAGGTCATTCTTAGCTCTGTTGTTGACACAATCCTTACTTTGTTTTCTTAGCCTGATTCCAGGTATGCAGTTGGCCCTCAATAATGTTTTGGTATGAATTAATACTGAATGAATTGTGAATAATATTAATTGTGAGTTAACTTAACCATGTAAGGAAACTATGGAAGTGGCTGTATTTAATAATGACTCTACTTATCCCATAGAAATAGAATGGAAACTAATGTAACATTAAACTAGAAATACATTAAGCCTATTAAAGTACGTAGAAGACACTATAATAATAATTGCAATAGGAATTTTCTTTAAGTGGATTATATATTTTGAGACTGTTACCTTTTTATCTTTAAAGTATTTTGCATTATAGAATCAGTTGTATAAGACTAAAGATAGCATCTTCTTTCTGTTCCACGGTAGTTGTTGTTATTTGTCTCTATACTAAATTCAGATCCTATGAGAATCCTCATTTCTTTTTTTTTTAACAGAAAGGTTGTGGATACCATCTGGATCTATTAATGGTGGCTGTCATGCTTGGTGTGTGCTCCATCATGGGCCTGCCGTGGTTTGTGGCTGCCACCGTTCTCTCCATCACTCATGTCAACAGCCTAAAGCTGGAATCCGAATGTTCAGCTCCTGGAGAACAACCTAAATTTCTTGGCATTCGGGAGCAAAGGGTTACAGGGCTTATGATTTTTGTTCTTATGGGTTCATCAGTGTTTATGACCAGTATTCTGAAGGTAATGAAATCTGCTTTGATGAATTTGAGAGAAGGCAGAGTATATTTATTATTGTTTAAGAAGTTTCATTTGATTCTAAGCCATCAATTTGCAAATATTGTGTGGCATATGATGAAAGTGATAACTTTCTTTACTACATTTATATAACTTCTTAACACGGGAAATTACACGCTATCTTTTAGAATCCTTAAATAGATACAAATTTAGTCTAGCAAAGTAAAATTTGATGTGTAAATTATTACTGTAATTTTGAAATGGTGATCAAGTTGTAGGCAAGAGTCACCCATTTCTGACTGACCTGATTTCACTGCAGACCTACACAAAATAAAGCTTTTATTTTCTTATCAGTGGACAGATATATTTGCAATTAATATTACCAAGTATAAGACAGAGGTACAGAAATAAGCAGTGTCGTGGTCATAGCCACATATGCAGTTTTATATTTTAAATGTTCCATAAAATTATTACATGGGCAGCATCATTTTGTATACTTATTTTTTTATATTTAAAATAATGAATCCATTTTGAAGAGCATTTTTTTAAAGAGTCATTATTTTTTCATGTGATTTTGGCAGATATTTCCATGGTGTGTTATTTGTATTTTAAATTATAACTCATTTTAGCTGCTTATAATTTGAAAATTCTAATTGATTAATCATTTATAAGTTTACTTGTGTTTAATTATTTCACAAGTATATTTGCAAGAATTAATTTCTATGTTATATAAATAATTATAGAAATAGGTTGATGCTGAGGTATTCCAATAAAAAGAGAAAAGTTGAACAATCCACATGTTCACAAATACCTCGTATAATGTAGGAACAATATGTAAATATTAGCTCCATTCTTCACCTTTAATCCAAATATTTTACCATTGTAAAACAAAATTGAAATTTCTCTAACATAGCATAATAGTAGCTAATATTTATTGTTTATTATGTGTCATGTGTTTTTATAGGTTTTGACCTGTTAAATATTCATAACGATCCTATTATTATCATCCCTTTTTAGATATTGGGAAACTAAGGCACAGAGAGTTTAGATAATTTACCTAAGGTTACACAGCTAAAAAGTGCTAAAGCTGGGATTTGAACCATCTCTACCAGCTCTGCCCTATACTGCTTCTAAAATATTTATTTTTCTGTGTTTTCCTTTGGTAAGTGCAAAATATTAGGGCCACATTACACTTGAAAATAACTTGTGTGCCTTTTCTCCAAATGTTCTTTTACAGTTTATTCCCATGCCAGTGCTGTATGGAGTGTTTCTTTATATGGGTGCTTCATCTCTAAAGGGAATTCAGGTAAATTACTTATAGCAACACAGGCACATCCAGGATGACTTATCTTAAGTTCTATTGATGCTAAGTCATGTGATAGTTAAGAAAATGACATCATCTAAGGAGCAGGTTTTAGACCACAATTAAATGTTTTCAAACTGATCAGATTTATAAAAGTTAAAGAAGATCCTCTTCAGCTTATAAAGTTCATAATCTTAGGGTACTGTTTTTTTTTTTACCATAAGTATATTAAAATGAAGAGGTTTAGATTTATAGCCCTTTTAGAAAATGAATCATAGTATGTTTCAGAATATATACAAATACTTTTAATCATTGATACTGTAATCATGGTTATGCATCTCCATGAGAATAGGAAAAAACTTTATGCATGAAGTTGTTCATTGTCACACATACTTTCAAAAGATTGGAAACAATCCAATTATCTAACATCAAGACATAATTAAAGTCAATGGCACATTCACTGAAAAGTGATAATTATGGTAACACTAAAAGTAACTTGGTAAAAATGTTTATGGCATAATGCAAAGTGAAGAAGTAGGAAAACAAGATGTACTTACCACAGGTTTATAAAGCTGTGAGTGTGGGTCGGATTAAAAAGGAAGGTGGGGAAATGAAAACAATTTGTTGAGATCGTTAAAGTAACAATAAAGGTATAGGGTAAAGCATTTTCAAAGTTTAAGGGAAACCTTAGTAATTGCTTAAGAAAGTATTGGTAAAATAAATACAGTTGGGTTACTTTTCTATTGCTGCTTAACAAATCACTGTAAAACTTAGTGACTTAAAACAACAAACATTTATCATCTCACCATCTCTGTGGGTCATGAATTTGAGAACAGATTAGCCGGGTGGTTCTGGCTCAGGATGTATCAGGTGATGCCATGGGGCTACAGACAAGGGCTGCAGTCACTTGAAGGTCTGAATAGGGCTGGAGGGCCATGTCCAAGGTGGCTCACCACACAGCTGTGGGAATGAGGCAGCAGCCTCTATCTGGCTGTTGGTGGGAGGTCTCCGTTTTTTGCCCCATGGGCCTTTCCATATGTCACGTGTCCCCATGGAACACTTAAAAAGTAACTTAGAACTTAACTTAAAAAGAACACTTAGAAAGTAACATGGAAGTTACTTTCCATCAGAGTGAGCAATGAGAGACAGAGAGAAAGTCGCTGTGCCTTTTGACTTAGTCTCCAAAGCCACTCGTGGTTACTGCCACTTTTTACTCTTTGTTGGAAGTGAATCACTATGTCTGGCTTGCACATGAGGGGAAGGAAATTAGACTCCATCTCTTGAAGAGAAAAGTACCACAGAATCTGTGGACACGTTTTAAAACCACCCCAAGTGTATGCTAAATCTTTACAGAGGCTGTTGGCAAATTGTTCCTGCTTATGTTCCTGGAGTGGGTTGAGTAGTGTCCTCCCCAAATTCATGTCCACCTGGAATTGCAGAATGTGACCTTATTTGGAAATAGAATCTATACAGATAATGTTAGTTATGAATGTCAAGATGAGCTCATCCTGGATTTAGGGTAAACTCTGAATCTAATGACTGGCGTATTTATAAGAAGAGAGAGGGCACGGAGAGACACAGGTTAGAAGGCCACGTGAAGATGGAGGCAGAGATTGGAGTTTTGCTGCCATAAACCAAGGGATATCAAGGACCACCAGAAGCTGCAGAGACAAGGACGATTTCTTCCCTGCAGCCTTCAGAGGGAGCACGGCCTGGCCAGCACCTTGATTTTGGCTTCTACAACTGTGGGAGAATACGTTTGTGTTGTTTTAAGTCACCAAGTTGTGGAAATTTGTTATGGTAGCACTAGGAAATTAATACAAATTTCAACTTAAATTTGCCTTTGAATAATCTTGTTTTCTAACTTAACATTCTTTATCAAACATACTTAAATTTTCTTCAAAGAGACTAATTTTGGGAGTTATTTAGTGTACAGTTTTTTTTTTTTTGACTAAAAGGAAAATATAAATTGGCACTTTTTCTATGACACAGCCTGACACATTGCTATTCAAAGACATAAAAGAAAAGTCACCTGACGGAATGTTATGCATTTGTCAAATTACCACTTGTTAAATGGAACACAGGGTGTGGGATGGTGAGCTGCGGTTCAACAACAGACCATGAGAGAAATTAAAATAGAGAAGTTTATTACTCACGGGTCCTGGAGGAAGTACCTGGCCTTGGGCCGCACAGGGAGGTTTAGGCAAAGTGAAGACAGAGAAAGGAAGAAAGGACCTGGAGTGCAGGCTGTTGTTAGGGTCTGTGGGTGGAGTGCTTTGGGGTTCCTGGGCCACGGCCAGATTGGTCAGCTCAAACCAAGAGAGCAGGGTTTTGGTAAGTTCCACGGGAGTCTTACCTAAGTTGCATAAGGGGAAGGCAGGGGAGACCGTTGATCACAAGGTCTGTTGGGGAAGTCATCTCAGGAACTTACATTTACTTGTGACTCTGTGGGCTTCTATCTAGGGAATGTGAGTGCACGGAGGCTAGTGTAGCTTAAGGTCACTGGAGGCTGCTAGGCTAAACAAAATGGGTGCCGAGGCAGCAATACCATGGAGTAGCTTAGCCAACCTCTTGACACCAAGGGGCAGTCAGCAAAGGAACTCTTCTCCTGAGTGAACAACTAGCCGCCTTCTGACTTCAGGAGAAGGAAAACCACTTAGGCCTTAGGATAGTGCTGGATATTTGAACTAAGACAAAACTTTAATATGAAGTCACTGTAAGATCATTCAACATCCAAAGTAGATAGGATGACTTTCTTCATCCTGACACTGGGTAAAATTAACTTGGGAGACGAAGGTAGTTAAGAAGTGTTATGCATTTAATTTTACTCAAATTAGTTTTAATTTGCTCGTTTATAATTTCATGTATAAAAAGTGTGTTTTGAAAGAATTGGTTTGGTAAGGCAGATAGGAAAGAGTATTGAAGAGGTTTTGTTTATTTGTTTTTTTTTGCCTTTGGCAAAAGTTCCATGAGTACTAATTGCATCTGTAAGTGAAAAGCATTTATTATTAGGCCCCAGGCTTACATAAATACAGCAGCAGAAGTTTAAGAAACAAAGTAAAATCAGTTTGATAGGTTTCAACAAATTTTTTTTCCTCCTAATTCCACTCACATGATTTTATACTCAGAAGGTTTAGAACTAAACAAGAATGTGAAGTTTTGGAATTATTTGGGGTGTGAATCTTTCAAATGAAAATTGAGGAAAACATAATCAAAGGCTCATGTGAAAAGCATAATGAGTTTTAAATAGCACACATGAAACAGCGAGCACGGTTTCACACTGAGAAACAGGGTTAGTGAAAATTTAAGTGAGCCCCAAGCTCAGGGAGTTGAAATCCCTATTTGGAATTTTGTGGTTAGTTCAGTGCAGAAGTTGGAAATTGATTTTAGGACAAGATTGAAGCCAAAGGCAAAACTCAGAATATATTTATCATTATTATCATTACTTAAGTAGTGATAAACATGTGCTGAATACCAACAGTTCAAGGAGCATGTTAATTAGTTACCCTATAGGTTATAGGAACCTATATTTTACCTGATTGCTTGGCAACATTAAGAAACTTATTATCTAGGCTTCTCACTGTGCAACATGGCAGAAAAAACAGATCACACTGTTCTCACGAATGCTGTTTTTGTACTCAGATATATAACCACATCTATATTCATTCCAACACTTCAGGAGTCCAAAGTAAAGCAAATGTGCCATTTAAACAATAACAATTGAAGCACCCACACACTGAAGTACACTTATGCAATAACATAGCTTAGCAAATGGAGAAATGGTGGCTGGGAAAAGTGAGTTCTGTAGAAACTGAAACATTGAGTTATAAGCCAGAAGATTTGACTTTATTTCTTCCATATTCCCACCTTCACCATCCACCAAGTTTTATTTGTTTGTTTAATGACATGTAATTATAAGAGATATTTAGGATATAGAAATAAAAAGACCTAATGAAATATTTGTGGACAGAGTGGAGAGGGGTGAGCCAGGAAAAAATTTATCACTTAGTCCTCTACATAGGTTTTCAATAAATGTGTTTGGAAAGTATTAATGAATATGAATAAATAAATGAACAGCAGATGAGCTAACCTACATATGATTCTGGTTTAGATGATTGAGGGTAGATCATGCTATGTCTTAAGACAGAAGGAAAGATGGGTTTATATTGAGTTTAGGATTCTTAATATACATACAAGCAGATTTCGGTAAAACAGGATATTTTGACCCTAACACTTGACTCCATGGACACTTGCCTCTTGGCATATTAGAATAATTTTGGAATATTTGATGAGAATTGTTTTCAGTTTGCTTATGAGTTAGCTAAGAAATAAAATCAAATATTATTTTATTCTTTTGAAAATGCATAATAAATATTACTGTAGAAATGGCATAAAAAAACTGACAGTGATGAAGCCATGTTCTAAATAATCACTTCTTGTTGGAAACATTCAAAACTGCAAAATTCGGCCTGAGAAATATTAAACAAAATGATATACATAAAACTGACATGCAATACAATTTGTTAGCAAGTAAAATATGATTAAAGATTTAAGGTTCCCATAAGAATTTAATCTATAAAATTCAAATTGAGAAAATTAGCTTTAGTAGATAAAAATAACCTCAAAGTCAAAACTATAACAATAATATTATATAGTCCAAAAATAGTTGTACTGTCTTTATGGTAAAATTTAAGCAGAAATACCATTGATCCAGATGAAAATAATTTTTGTAAAATACAACTGAAAAATATATAAATGTTTTGACAGTGCAGTATTGGAAATTGGTCAAGAAATTTACAAAATTTGCTCTGTAAATACTTTATTAACAATAATTCACGTAGATTGCATCTTTGTGGCTAAGATATTTATATTTGTAAAAACAACTCCAAAACTGTTAGGAATGAAAGCAGCAAGGCTAAAACAGCAGAGGCAAAATAAGGTCAAACCATCCTACTCAGCAGCTGGATGTGTGCTGAAGCTCAGGAGATAGAGCTGAAGTAGAGATCTAGGTCTGGGAGTCTTTAATAAGTATGTGAAAGTTGAAGCCATGAGTACGGATGAACTATCTCAGGACAGAAGAGAACAGAGAGTGGGAGTCCAGGAAGCCCTGGTGCTTAAGGGGCAAATAAAGGAGCAGAGTGTGATGTGACAACGTAAAAGAGGATAATGTGATGTTTGGTCTCTCAAGGCTATACTCTCCCAGGTAGCAACATTTAGCATTGGCTTTAATATTTTTAAATGTTTCTAAATTAGAACCCATGTCCATATTGAAGAAAACATGAAATATTATAAAACTGAAACCGTAGTATCTCAGTGTGCACATAACAATCCTATGGTTCCAGACACTCAGATGTCAACTTAAGTGTGATTCAAATGTACCATATATTGGGACCACGTTAAATGTTCACTTGTCCCTCTTGTATCGTTGTCTGTGAAAAGCAATTTAGTCTGTTTATCTTTTAGTTATTTGATAGAATAAAGCTCTTCTGGATGCCTGCAAAACATCAACCAGATTTTATATATCTAAGGCATGTACCACTTCGAAAAGTCCACCTCTTCACAGTTATTCAGATGAGTTGCCTTGGCCTTCTGTGGATAATAAAGGTTTCAAGAGCTGCTATTGTCTTTCCCATGATGGTATGGAACCTCTTTTTCTGTTCCTGTGATTGTCTGCTCTTATTGGAAACCCATGAACTGAAATTGAAACAATAGAGTCATTTTCAACAATTATTGGAAACCCTGGTATCGACTTCAACCACTAAAACTAGTGTCTATGATTGGGTTTGAGATTATATATGAATTTTGGTGATTCATATTACTTTGTCTCTGTCATTCTGAATTTTGGTTTAATTAATTGTTTATAAGAAAAAGTTTGAATTAATTGAAGTTGGGTGGAAAAATGTAAACTTTCAAAATTTAACTGTAAAGATATGCCAGGAAATCTGAAAAGTTAGGGGGATTTTTAAAGCTAGGTTTCATTAAGTATTTCAGACAAGTTTCAAATATTTCAAAAAATATACTAAATTTGATTGACTATAAATAATTTAAAATATTATCAACATAGATGAGAATGGTTTAATGTTTATTTAAAATAATGTCAACTATTAACTACACGTATTTAAGAAAACTGTCAAATATATTTTATACATTTTTAAAATAGCTTATTTAAATGACTCCTATAATGAGTAACATCACGGCCATTATTCTGAGGATGTAGTAAGAAAGAGAAAGGTAGGAAGCAAATGTACAGACAATTTATATATATATATTTCTTCAAATTTCACTTTAATCTCAGCCCTAATTGAAATTGACTTGTTTCTACTGAAAAACAAATCTATATATCTCATTTCATGCCTTCCATGTTTTCCATTATTTTATTATTTACTTCAGGTGTTAGCTCTGGTATTTGTAAGAAAGTTGATGGACTTCTTGTTTACCAAACGGGAACTCAGCTGGTTGGATGATTTAATGCCTGAGAGTAAGAAAAAGAAACTGGAAGATGCTGAAAAAGAAGTAAGTAAGAGCAAAGTAAATATAAAGAGAGCACTTGCACATGAAAGCTTTTTGCAAAACTAAATTATTATGTTTATCTTTAGATAGTTAATGATTGCTAACAACCAGGTGGACATGTTTGAAAGATTAATGTTTAAAATCATAAAGTTGGAATGTGAACAGAGAGAAAGAGAGCATATGTCATACGAGGAAATCAAACCCTAGTGAAATATGCAAATAACTTTGTCATTATCCCCTGAATTGTACAGTTTATTTTTCTGATTCTTTCCCTGTGGATGACAGAAACTTACCGACGCCTAATTATTTCCAAATTATGGTCATGCAATGATTGCTTTTTGGTGGAATATGTGAGAAGCAAAAGAAGACATTATCATTGTTGGTATTTTTCTAGGGGACAAAGTTTTAATTAACAAATTCTAATCAAAAGATAAAGTTAGCTATTCTTGACATAGATGAAATGCTTAAGAGGAACATGTTGATCTTATTTGCTTTCAAAGTGATTTACGATTGAGTAAATATTGTCTGAGAAACTTGGGACTTAATTACTTTCCCGGATTACTGATTTATCCTTTCTGTTTCATATACTAAAACAATTTAAGTTTTATGATGTATTTAAAGTTCATGTGTAAGTGTGTGTCTATTTTGAAGGTTAGTAATCATAATATTTTAAAAAGTATTTAAAAACTACAAAGAGTAGAAATGAAAAAAGTGACCAGTACATGATTTAGCAGAATGATTGAGCCCATAAATTATAAAACAGAAACAAAATTTCCATGTGAATAGAAATGAAGATGAAAGAAAATATTTGATGAGAATTGTGCATTATTTTTTCTACTTTTCCTTCTTCTACAAGGTGGTCGGTAATTGTATTCAAATTCTTATCTACAGTGCATTTTCTCAAACCATGGATATATTCCTTTCTGCTTTGGGGAATCTGCAAACATTTCAATGGTTAGGTTTTATTCAGTCATTAGGTGAGGTTTGATTAGGATACAAAGTCTAATGAGATTTATGCTTAGATGTTTCTACAAATATGGCTGTCTCCTATGTGACTATCTGGCATTTCTTCACTTTTTCATAGTGTCCTGTCACTGACAATGAATCCCCCATATTTAGAAATTGATTACAACGATGTATCTTAATACCGTATGAATATTTTAATTTTCCCAAATATTGTAGGAAGCATACTTACACTCATACTTCTAGTAATATTTATACACCATTAAAATATCATATTATAAAATTATGATTTCCTTGTGGTATATTTTTAAGTAGGGGAGTTTCTCTTAAATAATGCTTTAACCAGGGTATTTTGATAGCCTCTATTTCTCTTTTGGGCTTCTTTAGGTAAAGCTTTGCTCTCATCCTCAGATACTATTCAAGAAAATTATGACATAATTTGGTATAAATTAAATGTAAACACGATGGACACCAGAATATAGAAATTCTAAAGTCAAATTACCCATCCTTGAGGTAATTAAAATTATTCAGGTTGAAAACAATTTCCAAGAAGATTTAAATTCCAAAGAAAACAATTTTGAATTCATAACTCCTTGGCCATGAGCCTCCCTCAGTCTTTCTAATAATGAGGATACTATTAAGTATGCTAAAGCAGTAACTTACAAATGTAATTTTGCTTTATTTTTCCGCTTTGATTTCCTGTCAAATGTCTTCACCACTCTATGGGAAAACCCTGGCAACAGCCCCAGCCATCTAATCATCCCTTCCACAACATTCTTCTTAGGCCACACCCATACTATGGAACCTTCTTACCCTTCTAGAACTTTGTAAAATGAAAAATGATATGTATACATATATAACAAATTATGTTTAATATTTTCCCTTCTATCATTAGAAAATTAGATTCTCCTTTTATATGTCGGTGAAGTAGAAGAGAACAAATTTGATAGGAATAATAAATGTATTAGAACCTGCTGTTTCCACTGCCCAGAACCACTCACACAGCTGCATATGTATAGTACTTACATGCATAAGTGCCAGCTGTCCATTTTGGAAGTTATTAATCTCAGATAGGCAGAGACCCTACTTAATGAGCTTCTCACCTTCGTACATTATAGACCCACAGTACTCCAATGGGTGTTTACTGTTTTGTGATTATGAAGATAAAGATTTTAGAAGGAATTAAGTAGTACTAAATTTCCTAGAACTCATGTTTTCCAAAAGGATACAAAAATAGATTAAAGATCTGTTGAGGCAAATTTACAGCAGTATCCTTCAGATCTGCGTCTGAGAAAAAGTGGGGGAAATGCCTTGCAATCCATTAATCAGTCAGGTTTACAGACTTTTAAAATCTCAAAATAGATTCATATGATGATACTTTCATGTGATCCTCAGTAAAAGGAAAGAAACAAGAGAATCAATAATACAGTGAAGAAATAGTCCATAATTGAACATTGAAATACAGTCTGACCAATGCAGAAAAAGTTAATTCTCCACGTAACACCTGGAGAGAGAAAAGCAAGTTTAAAGATGTTCACTTTTTAACTTGGAATTAGTATTAAAAGGGTATGATCAGCATAGAGAGTAGGAAGATTTAAGAGGGATTACGCTACAACTTAAATTCTGGTTGATTTTCTGCTTGGACACCTGGATCTTGGAATTTCATCTTCTTGAGGTTGTGGACTCCACTGAAGAATGTGACCTTACTGTGTCCAAGGCCCTGTCTTTCCAGAGATTGTGCTTCAAGGTGGTAAATGGACAACTTCTCCAGAAATGTTGCATTTCTGCAATTGCTCTAATTAATTGAATAACTGATTGTGATCTAGGAAGATGATAAATAGCAGAGATGTCTCAGCTCCCTGAGACTTGCATTTAAAGTAGGCTCACCTCTTGTCCTTTTGATGATAGTTACAAGCTTGTACTTTTATCCTCTAGGGTTTTCCTATCAGTAGCCCACTTCTGGTCTTAACGGCACTGAGAAAACATTAGTTTGACCTTAAAATTCAATAATGAGTTAAGCAGAATAAATAGCTACACAGGCCAGTCCAAGGTCGCAGAGCTTCTGTTCCAAATTTTCATGTACTTCATGCATATGCATATGCATATGCTTCAGTTTTTAGAAAGAAAGGATTATAATCAGGATAGAAATGAATATTGGAACCCTGACATTTTGCACATTGCTCTGTGTAAAGGGAAGACTGCAGAATCAAATCCTGGATGTCCAAATGTGCTCGGAGTATCAACATGCCTTCCTTCCTACTTAAATATTCTCTAGGACATTGTACAAATTTGACAAAAGAACTGCTGTGAAAAGCAGAAAGCCCCAGCAGAATGTTTGCTCCTGGGTTGGGGAGAAGGCAGCTAATGTTCCATAAATCCTGGAAATTCAACTCTGGACAGTGATCATGATATTGACACTTCTTGGTTTATGGGAGGTTCACTCTAACTTATATGTTGTAGGGAAAAACAAAAAGGGGGCAAGTGGAACTTGTGATCTGTATGAAGCAGGGTCACAAACAAGGCCAAGAAGATGCAAAAGCAATCTAAAAACAAGTGCAATTAAACAAATTACAGAGCATGCCTTACTGCTAAGAAAGATCAGGATCAGTTGTAGATTTGGAAGCATGGCCTAATTATGACACAGACAAATGTTATTTCTAATTGTATCTGAGCGTGAGGCAAGCGCCTTCTTCATCAAGCAGTGGGCTTTCCAAGGGTAGTCCCAGAATCTCTGCAGTATCAGCCAATACCCGCACTGTGTTAGAAATGCCGATTCTTGGGCCCTACTCCAGACCTTCTATTCAAAACTCTGGGGATAGGGCCAAAAATCTGTCAGCAAGAGCTCCAGGTGATTCTGATGTGTGCTGAAATTTGAGATGATATCTTTCCTAAAAACCACAGAATATGTATCACTAGAATATACTCTTCTAAATCCAAGAGTACTCTTATCAGAATTTTTGTAGTTTATAATAATTTAGATTAGTCATTTGGAGATGCTGAATAAAATATTCTGATGAAAAACATACGCCATATCCATCCATTTATATAAATTCTGTGTGAACTACTCCTCCGCCCCATATTTCTTTTGTATTTCTTATGTATTGGCTCTTCTACCTGTTGGAAATTTTAAGAAATACCTCTTAGAGATATAACACTTTATGATTTTCAAAGTATTATATATGTATTTCAAAGTATTATATATGTATTATATATGTATATATGTGTATACAAGTTTAATCTATTATATGCATATATATACACAAACACTACATGTAATATTTGCAGCATTACCTAGTCTATTAGTAATCGAGGAAGAGAATGGTAGACACTTCTGATGTTCTTTGGCCTTGTTTTCTTCTTAGATAAAATAAAGGGGTTAAGCTTGTTTTCTGAAGTCCCTTCCATTTCTTATGCTCTATGAATTCTAGAATTGCTGAATATTTTCTCCAATACTCTAAGCATCTCTGTGGACATTGGCTCTCTGCTGTTGCTGTTTGTAACTTTGGGCTATTTGAGGACTCCTACACTTTACCTGAGAAATGGAAACAGTAACAGATGCTTCCTGTTTCACGAGGGAAGAACATTTGTTAGGTATCATGGTATATGAATTGTATTTTTTATGCTATTACACAATATAATTCATGATGTAATTTTATGCATAACAATGTATTCATCAAAACACCCCACAATTTAACTCCAATTTTATTTTCCAGTTCTACTCAGCAGGCCTTTGGCTACAGCCAGGCTAGTTCATTGTCATGCAAACACATTTTATTTATAGCTGCCTTTTATCCTTCGCCCACATATTTTCCTCCTGCCTAGGGTTTCTTCCTGTCTACTACCAAACTGATCAGATAAGACTGGCTCAGAGATCACTTTCTCTGCTCCCATGCTTTTTACAGTGATCCTTCTCATCTTTTGAGAGCGGGTTTATATCTTTCTTTTTATCGCTGTATCCCTAGTACCTGGCCGACTACCTGTCATATATTGGGTTCTCTGAAAAGTCATGACTGTATTTTTTTCTGTTTTTCATTGCAAAAATGCGTCATGACTTTCCCGACAACCCAATATATGATACTTAATACATATTAGTTGAATGGATTCATGAATAGCTCCTGGGTTATTCTTCTCCTTCACTGTTTATCTAGCTCATATTACATGCTCAGTAAATGTCTGAGTGCTTCTGAATAGGTTGATATTTTTAAGCATTCATTTTCCTGCCTTGTACTGGATATAGCATTAATTGTCTTCCGCTTTTTAGTATCTGAAAAATGCTTTGACTACCTTTATCAAAAGATGGTGTTCAAATTACAGTATAAATATCCCTGAGTCAAGTTGGCGAAACCCCTCAACTGTCCTTTGATCAACTTTGATCATCATCATTTCAATGTTCAGAATATTGTAGAATTTAGCATATTTTTGAAGGACGGACCTTATATAAATGAAGTGCTGAATGGAGCTCATTTTAAGGTACTTCTGACTTAAAAACTGATGGGGATTCAGTTAGCCTTATGCCCTCGCTCTCTTTCCCTGTATGATTGAGATGAACTAGGCTGTGACTGTCGTGATGGCCAGCGCCCGATTTGACTGCGTCTCCCGAGTGTCAGTTTTTGGCTTCCTCGGAGTGCTGCCTGGGATGCTGCCGGCCCTCCATCCCGCTCTGGGGCCTCCCAGCTTCCTTCTGGCACTAAAGGCAGCGGCTGCTCTGCCACCCTTCTCTTCAGATAAGCATGGCTTGAAAATGCTATCTTTAGAGGTGATGAGTTTTTGTTTGGATAGAATTATGACTAGTATAAAGCCCACACATGCTAACCAGCCACAGAGTGCAAAATAATTATTGAAAGCAATTTGAGAGAAAAGTGGAAAATCATCTGAGGAAAAAAACAAAAATTGTTCCCAAAGCATCGGTCCAACTTTCTGCTGTGAGATTGGATCTTGAGCTGTAGTTTTCTGCTGCCAGGTAACCTAAGCATCGGTGGCACTGTTCTCTTCAGCTTTTTTGAATTTTACTCTTTATTAAACCTTTCTACTTGGCTTTCTGACATTTTATTCCAAGTAGGTCAGAAAAGATATCTTTCTCTCTCTCATATATATATATATATATATATATATATATATATATATATATATATATATGGGATATCTATATATCTATATATAAGGGAGGGATATGTACATTGGTGAAATACTGTGAATCAGTTATAATCATCAAGGTAAATTATATGGATATCTATATATCTATATCTATATCTACACCTATATCTATATCTATATAGATATAGATATAGGTATAGATATAGATATAGATATCAAGCTGACCTTTCAGTGGACTATCAAGGAAAGAACAGGATTTTGGTTGTATCTTGATTTTCCTTAAATAGAGTTGGGATCACTGAATGTTTCCTCTTTATGTCCCTCCCTGTTCATTAAGGTAACTTTTTCTATAAAAAATGTAACCATATCTACTTGAAAGGATACATATGCTCTGCTCATGGCCTCAGTAATGTGTATTTAAGGTAATATGACGTATATATTATGTTCCATATAGAGTGACTAACCCATTTGCAAGGCATGCCTCATTCTACGCTACAGATTTGCTCTGCTCAGATGCTTACATGTGTAATTTCAAACTAGTGGTACCATCTATTCACCTTAACTTAGTTCCAATAGTATTGCCAAATGCCAAGGGGAATAGGTATAATACATAAGTAATAAAATACATCTGATGGGTCTTAACTTTTTTTCCTTAAAGAACAACAGAGAAGGAGAATAGAGTTAATTTCTGTAATGCAAAGGAGTCACAGACACGTCACTGGTACCAGAGAGTATAAATGTAACACATAGGGTTTTGGTGGAGGGGGTGGTGCTTATAAGCAAAGAAACAGCAGAGCTCATGCAGTTGCCTGGCTTCTCCTTTATTCCACAGCTTAGGCTGGGCATACATATTCTGTACACAGCATGGCAAGGTCCTAGCAGAGGGGAGCTTGCCTTGGTCGTCAGGTTGGATGTGTAAGAGAGCACTTCAAAAGTAAAAATGAGACCTGACCCCTGCATTATATTGTATATCCATAGATTAGTTGAAGAGGCTCTAGAAAACACTGTTTCTTTAAGTAACAAGAAATATGGCTAGGGCTTTTTAGACGAGGCAGCAAGGAAGTTGAGTGCCAGGTCTTCAGCCCTGCATGCCGGGACTAATGACATCAGCCAAACGTTGTATCTTTCTGGAAGCTGGTGAAGATCAGCCAAGCTACTGCTAAGCTACGGAAAGAGGGCAGGCAGTGAGCCTCCAGGGTCATCCTCTTTTCTCTCTTCAGTTCCCATTTGGTCAGGGAGTCACCTACCTCTTCATCTCTAGACAACTTAAAATTCCATTTCTGGAGTTGGAGCCAATAATTGTAACATTTTAAAATGGCCCCAAATAGTTCTCTGAACTCGAGCATCGCTAATGGACCCATTTAAAAAGAAATGCATTAAACAGGAGCTATAATCTATAGATAACTAAATTTCATTTTTGGTGCATGGAAAAAAGTCGATGATAACAACACTGAAAACTAAACCAGGACATTTCAGTTTGGTAGCATAAGATTAGCTTCATCCCAAAGATATAGTTTTAGAATGCTATATATGAAGAAACAAATATATAAAGCATTTCTGTAAGAAGAAACCCGACGCATAAAACAAAAGCCTAAGATGCATCCCTAACTGGCGAGCACATCGGTGTTTTGGTCCATACCAGAGGATATCTTCTACTGTCTCTTTTTAAGTCTCTCAAGTCTCTAAAGCAGTGGTTCTCAAAGTGTGGTCCTCAGACCAGCATAAACAGTGTCACCTGGAAGCTTATTGGAAATGTAAATTCTTGGGCCCTACTTCACAACCACCGAATCAGAGACTCAGGAGGTGGGGCCCCGCAATATGTATTGTTAACAAGCCCTCCAAACGATGTAAACTAGTATTTGAGAAACAGTGCTCTAAATACTATCCCTCATTCCTTTCTAATAGAACATTCTGGGAATATAATTTCAGCTTTATAACAATGAAAATGATTACATTACCCATACTTTTGTCCTTGTAAAATTTAGATTAATAAAAAAAAAAAACCTGCTTGGAAATTAACCACGTTTTACATTGAGTGACATGAAGGAGATTGTTGTTAGCATTTAAATTACTTTGTGATATGAGACTCTCATTAATTACTTATGTTCTTGGTAGCTGATGCTTTATTGAAAGGACCTGTGCTAGCATTAATAAATGCAAACAAAGTGGAAGGTCCTTGGGTTAATGAGATAGTGAAACATTAATCTGTGTTCCTTCTTCACTGTAAAAGGGAGCTTCATCGGCTTCACTTGATATATTTTACATTTGTCTTTCCAGGAAGAACAAAGCATGCTAGCTATGGAAGATGAGGGCACAGTACAGCTCCCATTGGAAGGGCATTACAGGTAAGATAAAAACAATTTGAGGAATGGAATGCATTGTTATGTGCTCTACTTAAAAATTTCATAGTGTGTGGATTCCCATGGAGGTTTGCTAAAGTTGTGTTAGAGTAGAAAGAACTGAAACTAGGAATTAGATTACCCTGTCCCAGTACTAAGCTCTGGCACTAATAGCTGTGTGACTATGACCAAGTAGCTTAAAATGAAGGGGAATAGGGCGCTGTGTTTGAAGCCTTTTCTTCTCATATTTTATAATGGATACAAAAGGTCTCTTTCATATCTTCTGAAAATAGCACCTGAAGACAGATCCAGATTCAATTCTGGGATCAATGAGCCAGGTATTCACTAAATAGGTCACAGGTAAATGTTTCATCTCTGGGAGGTTACCCCTTAAAAAAGGCACCCCCAAAGACTTAATCTATTTCCTGAATTGAAAGATTCAGCTATACCAGTCATTTTAGGAAATATTTATGTAACTCTAAAATACACTAATTGTGTTTATGCACAAAGGCATAGCAAAAGAAAGCAAACTCATAACTTATAATAAAAAAACTTTTGAAAGTATTTGGCCAAAAATTATGTATATAGTCTCAAAGTTCTTAAGGCTAATTTAAGGCAATGCCAGTAAAACAAAACAAAACAAAACAAAACAAAATAAACAGAGAACACTTTTCTCTGAGGAGGAAATTTGTCATAGTGTTAAAAGAAAATGGGAGAATCTGCTGGATCTTCAGTTTCTGATGGTAAAATCATATTCCCTAGATTTAAAAAATATAATTTATGTACTACTTAAGAGTGAGCACAAGTTTAGAAGGTGTTTTATCTTTTTTTTAAGCAATATTTAAGTTTTAAAATCCTGTTGATTGTTTAGTTGAGTCAGCATATTTCCCAGTGCATTCTGTGGAAAGCTAATCTCATGTGGTACCTTTCAAAAGGATCGTGTGATTAAATAAGTTTGGAAAACATCCCATACTGTATTCCAGTTTCAAAAGTCACAAAGAACACTGGCATATTAAAAAAATCTAACTAGTGGGCTGGCCAAGTGGCTTGTTGGTTAGTTGGCTTGGGATGCCAGCTCTGAGCAGCAGGACCCTGGTTCAGATCCCACATGAGGGCCAGTGACGCTGCACCCTCTACAACTAAGATGGTGAACAGCAGCTTGACCTGGAGCTGGGCTGCCGTGAGTTGCCGGCTACGGTGTAGGCTGCAGTGGGGCTGGTCGGTAGCTGGCATGCACTTTCATGAGCTGCCATGAGCTGCTGTGAGTGGCCATCCAATGGCTGGCCAGCAACTGCCTCACCTGGGAAAAGCGCAATGATGGCACCATAATGGGCCAGTGAAGTGATGTCCTCCAAAACTAGACTAAAGAACAAAAGGATAGCAACTTGTCTGTTCCCCTCCCCCAATTCCCCAAGAAAATCTTAAAAAAAACCCCAAAAAACTAACTAGTACTGCATTTTTAAAAAGTTTAACTGTTTAATACAGCATTTTCTAAGCTCTTTTGCTCACAAGACAGTCACATAACATTGTTAAAAACCTGTATTCCACATGACACTCTCTTGGGAGTTTCTTCATCTCAGGCTTTGAGTTCCCAGAGGCTGGATGAATCAGAAAAGTTAAAGAACACATGTCCAGGTTGGGCAAGGGAGGGGCCTGCGAAACACAAGGTTTTGCTCCACACCTTAGTGTTTCTCTTAAAAGCTGGGTTTGTTGCCCTCTTGTGAACAACCACCAATGAGGATCATGTGAGGTCCGCCTAGGATTTCTGTAGAACATAATTTTTTTCACAGCAGAGTATCCTTTCTATGTGTGGCAAGAAGAGTGCTGTTTTCTCAGTCAATGAACCTTTCCTTGAGTTGGCCTGTGATGCATCCCTGCTGCCATTTAGTTATGTTTCCTGCCCTGGGAATGTTTTGGAGCATTCTAAAGTTCTCCTCTAATTGGTGCCATTTTAAAATGTAAAAAAAGCACCCAGCATAGTTACTGATGCTGATATTGTAGGCTCCCCCAGCCATTTGGAAAGTCTTCTGCCAAATACACAGGCTGCCTTCACTTATTCAACAGATATTTATTGAGTCCCAGGCTCTGTCTAGGTCTTGGGGGAACAGCAGTGAACCAGTGGACCAAAGGTCAAGGATTCTTATCCTCATGAGCCTTATATTCAAGTAGACTAGAGGCAGGAAGAGACAGAAAGTTAACAAATGAAGAGGTCCTATGAAGTTATCTGCTGTGCTGTGAATGTTAGAAGAAGGCAATGAACATGCAGAATCCAATCTCTGTAATGTGACATGAATTTGGAAAACCATAGGCAAAACCAGTTCCTATAAAACTAGAATCTTTTTTTCATAGATTTTTTTTAATAATTAAGGAAAGTATTCAATACTTCTTAATTTTTAGTTATCAAAAATACTGTATGGAGGCATGAGATTGTCCTATATTTAGTTTCTATCGCTAGATAACTTCAGTTACTTATTGAATGATTATTATTTCATTTTGGGTAAACTCCTATCCAGAGATGATCCATCTGTGATCAATATTTCTGATGAAATGTCCAAGACTGCCTTGTGGAGGAACCTTCTGATAACTGCCGATAACTCAAAAGATAAGGAGTCAAGCTTTCCTTCTAAAAGGTTTGAATTATAAAATAATGGGTCTTTATACTTATCCCAGTCATTTTTTATGACATGAATTCACAAGCAAAAGAATAGTATTAGTTTTCATTGAATGTCGATCTAAAATATTCCAGAAAATTCTTTTTAAAACTGGGTAGAAATGATCATATTTGTTATGTTTTTCATCTCCCTTTCAGATTAAATGCTCACTCCAAAACTATGACAGTGGGGATAAATGGTGCTATAAATGAGTCCCAGTGCATGACATTTTTGGACATTCATTTTGGCCTACTCTTTTGCAGTGGGATTTTATTGTATTCCCTTATCATCATCCACTTCCCAAGATCCCCATAGATATCTGACCTCATTTGCACTCTCCCATTTTCCTTTTTTAAACCAATATGGCATATGCAATGATGATTTTGCATTTAGTATATTTCCAGTCTCCTATTCCAACCCCTTGAACATCTTCCCAACCTTCTTATCCCAAAACTTTCAGCTCCAGAAAGCTCTACCCATTTCTACTTCTCTGTATGAAAACATTACAAACAACTCCTATCGTTGTGGATGATAGTTTTAAATGCATGCTGGAGGAAGTATGTGTCCTTAAATATCAAGAGTCATCCTAGGATTTCCAACTGATTTTCCAGAATTTATAAATAAGAGTTCAAACTATCAGCCTTTTTAAAGCTGATCTCATGAAAAATCTCTATGTTATGCTAATATCTCTTCTTATTAAAGAGCGATTGAGGGATTTGGGACAGTGTTTAATGATTAAGTTCCTTTATTTTCATGACCTTAAATTAACTTTTTCTACTTAATTTTTATATCACATTTTTGTCATAAGCTCCCCTTCCTAATCACTCTAGAAGCTGATTCCCCAAAGGTAAGATCCTCTCCCTCAAACCTATTCCTTGGTTGTATTTCCTTATGTTAAATGGTGTCTTCTAGAAACCTAGTCAGCCTATGTTCTCTGTGTGAGTTTTGGGGAGGCAAAAGGCAGGGAGAGCGGTGAGCTTAGATCCATGATCAGACTGAGTGTTTATGGTGTTCCTATGACTACTCAGCTCTTTAAGAAGGTTTGGAACTCGAGTGACTTTTTCCCTACGTGACTTAAACAAATGCATCATATACAAATCAACAAATCTCACAGAACTATACTTAGTAATGGCATCAAATTTCTCTATCGGAAAAACAGTTATCCCTTGAATTGAGAGATTACAGAGCTGGGAGCTTCCGTTTATGCACCGTCATGCTTCCAAACCTGAAAGCTTCACCTGGCTTCAGGAGAAATGTTTGGAAACATGGGCTAGGACAAGGAGCTACGTTAGACTTAGAGAATCTCTCTTGTTGCTGGTTTTTGTCACCCCAAAATGGCATGCTGCTTCCGTGTCATCTTTATCCCATACAGCATAAACAAGATAAATCGTGAATGTG